CCAATTGGGAGGGAATCAATCAAAACCAGTATGGATCATAACCCAGTTCCCCCTTTGAAATATATATATATATATATATATATATATATTTTTTCTTTTTAAGTCTATCTAATATTTTCGTGGGTCTCTTCTAAATCCACACTCTATAAACCCGTATTTTAGTATACATTATATAAAGTTCTAATTATTTCTTAATATTTTTTTGATCACCAATTCAGACTGAATCAAACCCAATCAAAATTTCGGATTCAACGATCCAACACAACACAAATATGCAATTGAATAATCAAAACACGGTGACCACCTATTATCTTTCAAGGACAAGAAATAAAACACTTTAAATTCTTCAGTTACTTAGGAAATAGCCTATGTGACTAGAGTGGTGCATTGATTTCTTCACTTACCAAATGAGGAGGGGTGCCTCACCAATTAAAAAACGAAGAAATGGATAAATGATTGAATTGCTTTATTCTTGAGATAAAATAAAATAAAATTAGTCAGAAAAGAACATAAAGACATAATCAAATAAAGAATGAAAATTAAAAAATAATAACAATAAAAACAGGTAGGGGCTGGTGGTAGCGCCCCCCTTTGTCACCATGATTTCTATTCCCACCACTAATGCCAACATACTGATACTTTAAAAAAAAATTACTTGAAAAAAATAGGTATGAGCCTTTACCACTTATTACCCAAAAGAAAAAAAAAACAAAAAACAAAAAAATCAAAGAAGAAATATCTACACCACCTCTTTTCTCTACTTACACCTCCAACCTAATTTCCTTCACATCTCCTTCTCTCTCTCTCTCTAACCACCAATTGCATTCACTCCCACTTCTTTTTCCTTTTAAATTCCTTGTCTCCCACAGGCTTTCTCTCTCTAACCAGAAATGGCTTTCTCTCTCTTCCTCTGCAACTATCTCTCATTCCCCCACACCATCTCTCTGACCTCCTCCTCCTTCCACCCTCCCTCCCTCAGCCTCCACCCCGCTTCCCCCAACACCTTCTCCACCCACTCCTTCCCCCCAACACCTTCTCCACCCACTCCTTCTCCCCAATCTCCGCCGTCCATCCCGTTCCCAATCTCCGCCATCCCCTCGCCGCAATCCACACCGTCCACTCCCTCCGCATCTCCACCGTCCATCTCCACAATCTCCTTCCAGAATTCGATCTCTCTCGCTCTCTTGGCCCTCCAAGCCGGGGCCGCCACCCCCCAAATCCTCTCAAAAAAATCAACCAAGTCGAACCCAGCCCACTTCACCCCATTGGCTCGAACCCACAGCACCGGGTTCGAGCCCAGGTCTGGGCTCGATGGTATATAAAAATCTCCATAGATGGGAACCGACTCTCTGATCAAGGCATCGGCCTTGGTTTTAACCAAACTGGGTTCGCTAGGCTTGGACCCAAAGCTTGAAGGCCAGTGATTTGTGAGCCAGTGGGCTAGCCCCGTGCTCAGGTGGGCTCGAGCTGAGACGAGCCCTTGGGTCCCCAATTGGCGCCAGTTTGGGAAGCCATGGCCGACTGGCACGCCCGCCTCGAGGATGATTCGAAGGTCTGGTGGGAAGGAGATGGAGAGGGAGGTTTCTAGGGTTTTGAATTCTTGGTTTGTGAGGCCTGGGGCTATGGGGATTGAGCAGGAGCTCAGATGGTTGATTACGGTTTTGGCGTAGGCAGCATAGGAGAAGCAAGCTCTATTGGCATCATTTCGTTGCAGGGGTTTAGGGTTTCGGGAATTTAGTTGAGGGGAATTAGGGTTTTGGAGGTGTAGTTGCAGGGGACTAGGGTTAGGGTTGGGGGGGTCTAGTTCCAACGGTTTAGGGTTTTGGGGTTTAATGGGGTTTGTTGGTGTTTGGAGATCATCGATGTGATGGACCTGAGGTGCCATGGCTTGAGAAGGAGGTCGTGGTTTTTGCTATTTTTTACTGGATTTCTTCAGAAGAGAGAGAAGTCAGATAATGAAGGTTTGTCTGCAATAGCAGAGGTACAGAGAGATGGAATCCGATGATTACTGAGAAAAACAGGGAGATCTACTCCAAAAAAACAGCAGAGAGATTATTGAGATCTCTGACTCAGAGTTTCGATTAACCATATCCTCAAAGGATTGGAAAATTTAGCTTAAATTGTGAAATCTTGAATTTGTCAGTTCATGAATCTCCTTAAATTGTTAAACCTTGAATTTGTCAGTTCATGAATCTCATTAAATTGTTAAATCTTGAATTTATCAGTTCATGAATCTCTACTTCGGTTAGCTTCATTCCTTGATTTCGCGAGCTTCAGTTATTTTTTTGCTATTGTTACGGATAACTAATTGCCTCGTTCAATTTTTCAAATTTCAAAGAAGTAAGATAGGGTTGACTTGAAGTATTTTAAGGGATTGTGTACCAAAGGAAAATTTTATATAAGGTGTCAGCCTTATTTTGTACCGGTAAGGTGCACCTAAAAACCCAATAGAAAAAAAAGTTGTTCTTACTTTAGAAAACCTTTTAATCAATCATCTCGACCACTAGATTTATAGGCATAAAGAAAGGTGATTTTTGGTCCTAAAATAATTCATCTTTTAACATATTATTTTGACAGTTCATTTTCAAAATTTTCAAGTATTTATAGATTTACTTGATTGTTACTATTTTTATAACTTTAAATTCCATAATTGAGAGCAATATAGATTTTCATATCATTACAGGACCTTGCGGTACTGAAACTGCATTTCCAATATAGTTTTGAGGTGCACCTTACTTTTATAGTATGAGGTTGGCACCTTATACAAACCTCATCCTACCTGAATAGTTACAAGAAGTCACAATTACTCATGCCTTGGGCGTAGAATTAAATAGTGTGGGGTGAGACATGAAGGTTGAGAATAAAATAAAATACTTTGTATGGTCAATGACAATTTTGCAACCACTTAATTTTGAAAAGTATATAATGGAATCATTTATTTTTGGTATAAGGTGGTCACAATTAATCTTGACCATTGAATGTGAAATTGGGTGGCTACATTATGTCATTGATCAAATTCAAAATACAAAATTAATTTTTTCGAATTTTATGATACATCCAAGCTATCAGATTTTACATCATATGATTATAAATAATTGTGTCTTCCAAGGTAAATAGTCTCATTATATACAATCTCTTAATTTAAAATATAACAGGCAAGAGTTTTTATGACCTCTTTATACTAAAATTAATTAGTCTATTTGTATTTCTAAATGCTAAGGAATGTAAATCACTTCTTTTAATAGTGCCACGAAATAGAAAGACGGACATAGAGCAGCGCACACCCTATAGAGTATATCTATACAATAAACATCTACAATGGAATTGGGATTGGGTCTAAGTTGAGATTAACAATGCTATATCTCAAACTCTGATTAAAAATGTTATATCTCAAGCTTGATTCTTATCACTAAACTACCCAAAATAAAAGACAAAAATGAATTTGCTTGAATTTCAGTGATTACCGACACTAAATCTTAAGTTTGATTCTACCCGTTGAGCTACCTCCCCACCCTTAAAAAAAAAAACAAAAAGAATCGGGCTTGGGCTTGAGTGTTAGCGGCTAACGGATGGTTAGCAACACTACATGACAAGCTCGATTCTTACCACTGAACTACCTAAAAAAAAATATCGATCGTCCTATTCTTGAATATTGAAAAATAGAAATTGCTATCCTTAAAATAGGGGTTGTCGAGGCTTAAAAGCAAAAAAAAAAACAACTCGTTTAGTCATCTGTTGTCTATCGAGAAGTATGGACAATGATGTTTGGATACCTAACTTGAATTAAAGGGTATTTTATTTTAGGAAAAGTTTTTATAAAGCTTCAATCTTACTTCTAAATCTATCTAAGGTTGTGGCAAGATGTAGATTTGATAGTGTTGTTTTAACATATTCGTTAAATTTTTCAGAGAGATGTCAAATCCACACTGTCCAACTAAAATAGCAAATGTAGAATTCCTAAAGCTTACTTCTATTAGTAAGATTGCCACAAACATGCAAAAAATTTATGATCATGAGAATAT